AAAGCATTACTAAGAAAGAGGTGTGGGGGATCCTGGGGTGTTGTGTTCTTGTTCCTGCTTCTCCCTGCTCCCTTGTCTGCATTTCATCAGGCTGAGCCCCCAGAGCAGGCTGCTCTGACACCCTGAAGCACTGTGTACCTCAGGGTACTGCAGACAGCTGAGTCAGAACCTGCTGTTTGGCTGCAAGTGAGGGTGTTAAAAACCTCAGCCAAGAGAAAAACAACTGCTTTCTCCTACCTGCTGGCACTGACAGACCACACTGTCAAAGCCACTCCACGACAGAAGTGCCACTGCTGAAATTGTCCGTACTGCTTATGGCGAGAAAACATGGGTCAGTACACTGCGAGCTGTGCACCTCCCTGCTTGGTGTTTTACTCCTACCTGAGACTTCATCTCCCTTCTGCAAAATGGAATTTTGCAGCTGAACTTCCTTCTCCCCAGCCTTTGCAAGCTCAGTGCTATGTATGTGATAAATATACAATCAGAGGTCCTGCTATTTGGAGGGGTGACTCTCCTACTCCTCACATTGGGCTGGAGGCAGCTGGGTGGTTTCTCCTTTGCCTCATAAGGTGTGAGTATCACCACCACACAACAGGAGCTTTCTGCCAACAGGAATATTAGCAGGATATTCTCCTCCACGTGGTGCCCACTGCAACATCCCAGAGGTTTCTTGGTCTTCGCATAAATACCCTCTCTCCTGCTGAATGGGTTGAAACTGGTCTGAATGATCCAAAGCAGGGAGAGGAGGCACAGCAGCCCCCCATACACATTGCACAGAGACAGTGCTTGAGAAGATGCCTGTCCCTGAGGACCTGGGCAAGGAGAGCACACTGTGCCTCATCCCTGAGGAGCCAGTGTCCTCTGTAGGGGTGCAACTTGGCAGCAAGGTACAAGGACAATTCAGAAAGACAGGTGGTAAAATGTAATTTCAGATCCCATCCAGGCAAGAAAAGAGAATAAAGAGACTGAGAAGACTGAATTATTTGCTAGTTTGGAATGCTTAATTTTTCATCTTCTCTGGAGCATTTGCATAATCTTTTTGTGCGTGTGTGTACATGTAGGGGGTTTTTTTTGGATTTGATTTTTTTTTTGCTTAGGATTTTTTTTTAACGAAACCTTTGTCTGTGCTACCTTGGCAGCCTCTCTTTGAGTACCAACAAATTATTCTGTGTTTACTGCCACCAGAAAATGCCAGCTCTTGGGAGCCTCACAATGCAATTGCAACAAAAGCCTTGGAAGGTGGAGAAGCTGGGGACCAGCCAGGGGGATCACCACTCTGGCTGGTGCCACTATCCCCACAGAGCAAATTCTTCCTGCACCCAGCCCCAGCTCCCAGTGCAGTAGACTGTGTATATCCACAGCCTATCTCTTCCCTGCAGGACCACCACGGGTCCCTTTGGCTTTTAAGCCCCTGGCTCTGGGCTCAGGCAGGGGATAGTGCCCAGTGTCATGCAAATGGAGGTGAGCAGAGCTTTGAGCAGAGCTCTAAGCAGAGCCAAAACTTGCTGCTCTTTGGCCTATTCAGCATTTCTCTTGATCAGAAAGTACTACAGCCCAGAAACTCAGTGAAGGCTCTGCCAGAGCGTTTCAACTAGTTATTGAGATGCCTTGCTAAGCCCCTTCGGCACATCGTCAGGCTGACAAACACAAGCATTGCTGAAAAAAATGGAGACATTTCATTTAAAAATTGTGCTGAAACCCAGCATTCAGCCTTCTCTGCAAGAAAATGTGATTAAACATCTCCTCTTTAACTTGAAAACACTTGCCAAGTTTAATCTGAAAATTCATTACACCTTCTCTCCGCATACATTTTTCAATGAATGCACTATTTATCTCCCCCCTATTAAAAAAAATAAATATCTGTGTCTTGCTGTAACACCAGACTGTGGGGCTCATGCTTGGGTTCAGAGCCAGACTTGCTCTGAGCCTCTTCATTCCCCTACATGTCCATAACTGCGCTGGAAGTCTCTGGACAATGGGCTTTCAATCACATCTTGGGGAAGGGAGAAGCCACTTCCAAAGGGAAAATTGAATTAAATAATTTAAATATTTAAAAACTCACTAGAACCAAAACAAACAGCCAACCCTAAACAAGCTAAAAAAACCAAAACCAACCCAAAACCTCTTGGAAATAAAAATGAACAATCTTGTAGCTCACTGGTTGCCTTGAAGCACCAGGGAAGTGATCCTTGGTGGCTAGCACAGAGCTATCCAAGAGCTTCAAGTCCTGATCTCCTCAGCCAACCCTCATCCTAATGGGGAATATTTATTCTGTGTTGACAGAAGTGTACTCCAGGGTGGGAGCTAATATTAATTATATGACAAACACATCCTTGGGCAGTGATTTGCATGCGGCCTTACATCAAACAACTCAAGGTCCTACAAAAGAGGAGCAGAGTCTGTTCCTGCTCCCTGCTGCATACTGAATGAATCCAGGCATGATATTTGACTGCTGTGACCTTCAGGAAGGTCTGAACACGTTTCCAGCCCCTGCACGCCCACGCAGGTGACTGGCTTTGTGGATTTGGCTGGCACAGACCTGGCATCCCATCCTGGTGGGGCTGTTGGAATAGTTTGGAGAACCTCTTGTGAAATACAGGGGGTGCAAAGGCACACAGTGTCACAACCCAGGGGCTGCCTCCTTAAACCAGCATCATATTTACAGCTTTATCATCTGCAAAGAGCAGCTGGTGCCTCATCGTGCTGCACACTCCGCAGTGTGACTCTCTAACTTACAGTCTGATTTATGGAGCATGCCTTGCTTTACTCAGTAAAAATTATAAATGGTACCAAAAAAAAGAAAAAAGAAGAAGAAAAGTGGCTGAGTCTCTTTACTTCATGCTGTGCCATCAAAACTGACAGGTAAAAGGGCAGATGGGAAAATACTTGTTGAGAATGAAGGAAGATCTACTAAACAGAGATCTATCTCAGCTCCCCATGAGGTTATCAATGCCTTGGTGATCCGAGTATGAAAATAACATATTGTCAGAGCCAGGTGCCAGCAGAGGAACAGCCCAGCTATACAGGGCCTCATAAAGAAACAAATCTGTGGTGTTTTCAGTGGCCCAGGCAAGGGATATCTGATCCCAGAACTGTCTCTTATTTTGCTTATCCATTTCATTACCCATGGTTGCCTTTCACTGCCAGAAGACAAGGAAACAGCACCGTGAAATCCTCTGGCTCAAGGGGATCGGTTTGGAGATGTTTGGGAAATCTTATGATTTTTCCCTCCATCAAAAAAAAAAATACTAATTTCTGATTTCTCAACACAAAAACTTGCCTTGGGAAATGGTTGGGATTGATGGATTTCCCAACTCTAAAACTAATTGTTCTCAATACCTTTTGGAATTGTAACACTATGGGTCTCTGACTTCCTTCAGTGCTTACTTAGAAATACAACCCCAGGGTAAGAGAAATGTTTGAGGCGAGAGCAGAGCAGTCGGCAATGACAGGAGTGAAATACTTTGACTGTGCCAAACCAGTCTTGAAGGATTATTATTCCAGTTCTAGCCCAATCTGGAATAGACATTTTGTTTGTTTTCTTTTTTTCTTCTTTTCTTTTCTTTTCTTTTCTTTTCTTTTCTTTTCTTTTCTTTTCTTTTCTTTTCTTTTCTTTTCTTTTCTTTTCTTTTCTTTTCTTTTCTTTTCTTTTCTTTTCTTTTCTTTTCTTTTCTTTTCTTTTCTTTCTTTTCTTTTCTTTTCTTTTCTTTTCTTTTCTCTTTTCTTTTCTTTTCTTTTCTTTTCTTTTCTTTTTTTAAATCTTAAAAATATTCACAGCATGGGAAAAAATCTTAAAAATATTCACAGCATGGGAAAATAGCTCTGGGTCAGGCTCTTGCTCTGCCAGAATCCCATCGTCTGTGTTGGCACTGCATAGATATGCTACCAGTAGGAAACTGTTGGGAGTAAAGGATAGAGGTACAAAGAGTATTCTTTTTAGCATGGAGTTCCCCATTCCCTAATGACATGAAACTTGGGAAACTCCTGACTAAAGCAGGAAAGAGTGAAAATTAACATATGCATTAAATAAAGTGTTTCTTCTGAGTTGTCCAGCACTGGGCTGAATTTTAGTGACTTGGAGGTAGGTATAAATCATTTGTGTGGAGTATCTGAGGTGAATCCCTCTCAAATACCCATCACCCAGAAATGGGAGCTCAGTGACTTCTCATACTTCTGTTTTCCCTAAACTTTTTGCTTACAAAATCAATATCTGCCAGTCTTTTGTTTTGCTTTTAATTTTTCCTGAGCACCTTCTCCCATCATTTGGGATTCAGGAACTGCATCCCCGTTTCACTGGAGGAATTCTTTTCCTCAAGGAAAGCTCTTGCTAGTGCTCTGCTCTGCCTCTCCATTAAGATATGATCCTGACATATCCTGGGAACACTGCACGGTGGGATGCAGGGGGAGCTTTAGCTGCAGCCAATGGGAGTCTCCCTAGAAAAGAAGCTTGTCCAGGCACAATCATCACACATCTCACCCAGTAAGAGCAGACTGCTGCAGAAATAGCCCTCAGGACATGGGATCTTTATCTTTTCCTTGATGACATAGAAAGGCCCCAGTTATACAGGAATCTCCTTTCCCAGTGATCCTGAGAGAGGGTACACCAGGGATGGGAAAAAATTAAGGCAAGCTGCAGAACAAAAACGAGGAAAATGAGGGGAAGATATTGCCTGATGGTACGAGGATTCTGGAAATCCAGTATCAGGTGATGAAGTAGAAAAGGGAGGTTGAAATATGGAGAGCAGAAAGGGAAAAATCTGAGGATGAAAGAGAACAGCAGCTGCCAACAGTGTGGCTTTGATGGAGAAAGGATATACACAGCTGCCAAGGTTTTTCTTCCACCTTCATGTGTGAAGACTCATGTGAATTATTTAACGAGCAGATTTACATATTTTGAAATAAATTGCAGTTTATCCTGCCATTGCTTCTTATTTCTGTTGCCGGAAGCTGCTGCTAATTGTGGAGCTCTTTTTCTGTAAGGTTTTATAAGAGGTACTCACCGAGACTCTCTTGCTCCTTCCAGGAGCACACCAGGAGGGGGAAAGGCACGGGTATGGGATGGCATTTCTCTTATGGCACACATCCAAGTCCCATTTCCCAGTGAAAACACAATCCTTTGTAGATTCCATGCCACTCTTCACCCAGGCTGGGAGGAAGCTGAAGGTGAGCTTGCAAGGGCGTGAAGGGACAGGTCAGGAGACCATACCCTCTGCAGAAGAGCAGGCAAAACAAGTAATTGCAGTGTATTAATGAAGGCTGGGGATAGTTTTCTTTAAATACGTCTGGGGAATAAGCACTACAGAGATAGGAGAGCTATTTCAGCCAAAGGACAGTGCTGGCATGAGAACAAATGTATATAAACTGGCCATGAATAAACCAGGCTGGAAATTAGTTAAGGGCTTCAAACCATTAGAGCAATTGGGTTTGGAGCAGCCACCCAGTAGGAACCACAGAGGCAGAAATCCAAATAGCTTTTAAGAGAGAGCAGACTCCAGTTCTGAAAGGACATCGTGATGTGTTGCTGCAACAGCAGGGATTAGATTTGGCAAGTCTGGAAGTCCCTGCCAGCCCCATGTTCCTGTGTTTCAAGCATTTGGGAGGTTTGACTTCTTTTTTTGTAGATAAATATGGCTTTGTGAGCAAAAGTAAATAAACTGCTGCTGGAAAATTTATTTGAACATTTTTTCAAGGTGTTTTAAAGCAAAAAGAGTTGAAAAAAAAGTTGAAAGCCAGCTCTCACCTCCCTATCAGTGCTGTGACAGCCTGAGGTGTCCTTTCCAGATAGGGAAGATGAAAAATGAGAACATATGGAAATGTCAGCAACCTGTGGACTCAAAGGGGACATAGAGATGGGGTATCCTGGAGACAGTGACTGCTAAATTTAAGAGGGATACTCCAGTCTTAGGCACGAAAAGTGTCCCACCAGGGGTTACTTGATGATGGATAAAATTGAGCTGAGTTTCTAAAACACATTCCTCCTCACCAGTGTTTTGATAGCCCTCTGGTTCATGTCCCAAACTAGAAGTGGATCTCCTGCCCCAGCCTAAGTTTTTATTTGCTGTTTCCCACTAAGATGTATCCCAGATCTGTTCTGAGCACAAGCTGACTTCTGCACAGGAATGTGGGGATGTCCCTCACAGCTCACATCATGGCCAACAGCAAAGTATAAGGAAGGTAATGAGAAGAACTCTCCCAGATGTCCCAAACTAATACTGTCATCCTTGTAGTAAACAATCATGGTAAGTCCACCCACACACACCTTTCATATAATTTATTCTTGGACCTGTGGAAACGTTTCAAATCCACAGTACCATGGAGTTTGTGGATGAACAGCCCAATGCCCCACATATATTAGGGACCACCCAGCTGGAAAGCAGCTCAGCAGAAAAGGCACCAACTTGACCATGAGCCAGCAGAGTGCCCTTGCAGCAAAAAAGGATAATGGGATCCTGAGCTGCCCTAGGCACAGTATTGCCAGCAGGTTGAGGGAACTGATCCTTGCCCTCAGCTCAGCGCTGGAGAGGCCACAGCTGCAGCATTGTATCCAGTTCTTGGCTTCCCACTATGGGAGAGGTGGACACACTGGAGAGAGTCCAATGAAGAACCATAAGGATGATGAAGGGACTGGAGCATTTCTTATGAGAAAAGGCTGAGAACTGGGACAGTTCAGCTGGAGAGCACTGAGAGCAGATCTCATCGAAGTATATAAATACCTGGAGGAAGGGTGAAAGAGGCTGGAACCAGGCTCTTTCCAATGGTGCCCAGTGACAGGAACAGAGGCAATGAACAAAAATGAGGACACAGGAGGTTCCTCCTGAACATCAGGAAACACTTTGTTACTGTGAGGGCGATCAAGTGGTGAACAGGTTGAATCCTTTGAGATATTCAAAAGACATTCGGACACAGTCTGGGACATCGTGCTCTCAGTGGTCCTGCTTGGGCACAGGGGTTAGACAAGATGACCTTCAGAGGTCCCTGACAGTCTCAAGTAGCCTGTGATTCTGTGAGTTCCACAGGTAAATTATGTGTTGTTTAAAAAGATCTACTCTCTTTGCAATGTCACCTACAGTTTTCATTTGATGCCTCCTAATTCTGTTGTAAGAAACAGAAAACAACTGGCTTCTTTCCATCCCTTTTCTCCACCTCACAACCTTGCAGACCTTTCTCACACTCTGGTTATCTGTCTGTCAAATCTTAGTCCTAGCTTATTTGGTTGCTACTCACACAGCTGCAGTTTCAGTGCTTCGCTTGCTATTTCTGATTTTTCCAAATTTTTCCCGAAACAGCTCACACTGGGGAGCATCACGACACCAAGAATTCCCAGGTCACAATCAGCAGAAGACACATGTGATGAGTTTTTAGGCCCAAGTCGCATATGGAAGAAGAAACTGAACTCCTAGAGACCATACAGGAGCAGTATTGACTGGTAAGCTGACAGATCAACAGACAGCTTTGAGATGCTGGGTCTATTTGGTTGCACCAGGAGGAGCTCCAGATGGACTTCCTAAACTAGTCCTAAAGCTGTATCTGTTCACACATGCAATATGCCCAAGCCCCAATAAACTGCCTGTCCCCTTAGAGCCAGAGAGGAACCTGTCCAAATGCACCTCTAAAGGACTGAGCATGATGTAACTGGGGTTCAGCAGTTGCCCCTCTGCTTAAGGTGAGAGGGGTGGAATCTGTTACTAGGGTATTCCGTGGTTTGCCTATGCATCTCCTACTCTCTTTCAGTCAGTGAAACTCTCTTTGTTTGGATCCATCAGTTTCTGGCGTATGAATGGAGAAACAGCAATTGCCAGAGCTGCTGAAGCACTGCAATTTAGCTCCAGGTTGCTGGGCAGCAATATAAACTACTGTAATTTCAGGAGACCCATAGAGGAACTCTTCTCTAATTGCGCCTTTTTGCTTCAGTCAGTAAGAGATGCTTATATGGAGGACAATGAGTCACTATAGGAAACATCAATACGAAAAGTCACTGGGAAGGGTTCAAACTGCCCACAAACTTACTGCAAATTTCAGTTCAGCAACATCATTTCATAAAATCAACCTGCTCTAAAACATTTTTGAGAGCTGCTGGTTTATAAAAAAAAAAAAAGTGAGGACACACTCAAGAAAACTCGCAATAGTAATTCTGTTCTCTAATTCAGAAGGTGTTTTCTGGTTCATGGAGAAATGTGGAAGGAAGTCTGAAGCAGCCAAAGGAGCTCCTTGCCTACAGCAAAGCAGAGGGTGAAGCCACGGCTCCTCAACTGGACTTATGGTCAGAGCAGCCCATGGTGTGGAAGCCCAAAGGGGTGGCTTTGGAGCAGGGCTGTGTCCCAGCAGCCTAAGAATGCTTTGAGTCCATGGGAGCAGAGGGGAGTAAGGCTGTGTGCCTGGGAATAAGGCTGTGTGCTCACACCTCAGCCAGTACTACCTGTCCTTTCTCATTAACACCAGCCCTGTTTCCTTGCACTCCCCTCACAGCTCTAACCCCCGATATTCCTTCTTCTTGCCCCAGCTTCTGGAAACATTAATTAAAAGCAGTTGCCCATCAGTCCCGATCCGGGACCAGTCCATCCTACTTTGCAGGTGAATGACTTTTCAGTATTCATCAAGCTTCATTCTCTGGTGCTTGGCGACAATTTTATCTTCCTCTGGGGAAACAAAAGAAGGAGAGATGATGTTGCTGTAAAGAGATGCTAATCACACTATGGAGATCTCCTGAAGAATTCGCAGAGCTCTTTGTTGCGGGATGCCAGGTCTCCTTGTCCTCAGCTCTTTGTTTCTCCTCTGATTTCTGTAAGACGCTGTGTGGGCAGAAAGGGAGAGTAGAATTTATAAAGATATTGAAGGGCAAGGGAAGGGCATTACTTAATATTGCAATGCAGAGATTGCTACAAGCTGTTTTGAATTGGGTCTGCCTTTTTACTGCACGTGTGCAGTGCGAAGCTGACAGGATGGGGATCTGCTGTCACCCTGCATCAGTGGGGTGACTATTTTTGTTACTGTTCTGATTTCTGGTTTCTTTCTGGCTTGCCAAGAGCTGAAAATGCATCAGATGGGCCTCTGAATGTCTAAGAGGCCCTGGCCATACATATGCGTTTCTTTTTCTGGAGTTTGAGCGGTGCTCAGGGAGTCTTTGGAGGAACATGTGGAGTCAGGTGTGGAAGGAAGATGTTTCTGGATGGCATTGACAGTGAATGGTAGATTCAGGTGACTGAATTTCTTGCAACACTGCCCGCAGCAGACACCACCTCCTAATGTCTAAACTCAGGGGCCAGGGGCTCCTCCTCCAGAGTGGATTGCACAGCCCGAGGGCAGCCTCCTGTAGTCTGTAGCTAGATATGTCCAAGATCTGCCTCTGTGCTCCCAAACACAGCCTAAGAACAAGGTCACTTTCTGCTTGGGTCTTGGTTGCAGGGACAACAACCACCTGGGCTGTAGGTTGCTGTCGAAATCAAGTACTGTGCCAGCAGTTCCTTTGAGGGCTGCTTTGCTACGTCCATCAAGACTGACTTCTTTGGATTCTTCATCATCCTTGCAGGTGAAGCTACACACATCCTGCAAGTTCTCCTCAATGCCTGAGGAATACGTCTTCCCTCAAATGAGTCTGACATGTCCTGACAGTGCCAGCTATCTGCAAAGCCTTTTGGCTCTGCATGCCATATCCCAGTGCATGCCACATCCCAGGGGTGTCCCTAGGTGTGCTCCATGGGCTGGCAGCTGCGATGCTTTCAAAGAGTTAACTTCCCTCCAGATACAATCAGCAGCTCCCTGAGTGAAGTGACTTGAAACAGGGGCCAGCACACAGCAACACAGAACAGACTGGAGCAAACCATATGCTCCTGCACAAGAATAACAGCATCATTAAAATCCTGAACCAAGAACTCAAAGGAGCATTTGAAGAGTACATAGCAGCAGGTCCTGAATCCTAACTATCAGCTTCTCTTTCCCTTGAATCCTTTGCATGTGCTGAATGTGAAAGTGAAATTTGTACTCAATCACAGCAACTCACTTCCTCCTCAAGTGACTCTCCAGGCATGTGCTCACCTCAGGAGTGAGATGTAGTCTAAAACAGTAGGGAAATAAACAGGTGAAACAACAGAGAGATAAAGAGTAGGGGGGAGAGAGAGAGAGAGAGAGACTCCGGTCACTGCTTAAACTTTGCTTATTTACAGCTGCAGCATACATACAAAGATCTATAGCACTTACACCCAAATAAATCCTCCCCTGGAGACAGGTGGCAGATATCCCCCTCCATTATTTACAGCCACTTCTCAGTGAAAACTGCAAGCTGTAAAATGCCCATACAGTGTTGGAGAGATTTATAGTCCTCCTGTATTTCACACGGTGCCTTGCCCCGCTGTGCTGCCTTTGGGGAGACACAGCAAATGGACTCCAAGGTGTTTGACAAAGATGAAGACTCATTTATTACTTGACGCTTTGGAGAGAAATATTTGTACGCAGCAGCCTACACGGGTGGCAAAGGTTAATCCTCTCCTCTCCTGTCAATTCAGCTTTTTGTGAGCAAAGGGAAAGCAGTGGGTTGGCAAGGAGAGGCACGAGGAAGGGGAGCAGCACCAGCGACCCGTGTCACTCCGTGCCCTTTACCAGTGTCAGAGGAGACTGGGGACTTCACTCTGTTGCTGACCCATCACCCTACCAAGCTTGATCTCAGCTTTTTCTTTCACTTATCTTGGTCCTACAGGAGGGGGACTGATGTTTTCATTTCTCTGCAGTAGATGAGATTTCCTGAATTGTGCAGCTAGAGGAGACTTGTGGCTTGCAGGTCAAAAGCATCCGTGACACCATCCACCCTGAAATCCCATTGTGATGTGCCTCACCGCCTCTGGCACAATGGGGCACAGGACTACAAGAGCTTTCGGCAAATTTGGCTTCAAAGTGGACTTCAGAGTGTTTTATCCTAGGTTGGGATCCCACAAATACATGTCCTTGTCCTTCTCTGCTGGCAGTGCCAACAGAACTGCTCTCTCATCTCTAAAGGTGATCCCTGTGAGCGGGATTGAGGCAAAGAGCCAGCGTGGTGCCAGCAGGCTGCTAGCACGCTGCCTTCCCACGATATAGACAAAGAGCTTCAATCTCCGGGGCTGTCGATAGAGTGCTTTCCAGCAGCACTAAATTCTTGCAGAAATTCGAACATGAAAACATAAAAATAAAAACACAGTGTAAAGAACACACAATAAAAATATAATACCAAATATATCACTTAACTAAAACCGCTGACCCAGCGGCTTTGATGTTAATACATTGTCTATAACAACGTGGCATTCCAGCTGAATACTAACCGGCTGCGGAGCCCAAGCCCAGCCTTGCTTCACAGGTTTCTGGTTTTACTACCCTGATTCCTGCAGTCAGTCTTCCTCTCCTGGGGTTTATTAGGTCTCGTCCCCTGCCATGATCAGCCAAGAGCTGTTTTCACTTTCTCCCCAGTGTTAATTAAAGCTGGGGTGGAGTAACCCCCACAAGACTCCTCAGAGGAGGAAGAGGAAAACTGAGCCCAGCATGATGGCAGGGTTTGATCAGTGGAGAGCTGTGTTAACAAGAGCCCTATGGATGTGAGAGGGATGAACAGTCGGTGGGGAAGGCAGGAACAGATGGTACCCAGCTACATGCAGCATGGTTCCCGGGGTCTGCAGTATATGCAGAAGCTCCTGCTCACCGCTCAAGCTGCCTAATGACAGCACCAGTCACAGCCTCTGCAGAGCCATCTTGACCTGTTCCTTACATGTGGCATGGAGACATTCCAGAGGGGACTAGTCCTGTTCCAGCGCTCACATACTGCTAGGATGGAGCCAGACAGAAATCACTGACCCCTCTTTAATGGCAAGATATGGGGAAGTTCCTGTGCAGACCTGACACAAGGGTGGCAGCTCTGTGCAGTTATTCAACACCCAGGTGCAGGTGAAAGGCTGAGTGAAAGCCTGCCAGGAAGCAAGACAGAAGGGGGACTGTCCAGCTTAGGACCGTTTTAAGATGTGGCACCCGCAGGCACAACCTTTGTTCCATGCTGGGAAAGGTACCAGTTACTCCAAAAGAACCTGGTCGTTTTGTTGATGCAGCACCCAGTGTGGTCCAGCACAGAATTTCAGTCTCATCTACTGTGGTCTCTGCTGACTCCTGGCAGACAAAGGGCGAGGGAAAGGGATGAAGATGTCCCCTCTATGGGTTAGTGAAGTCTCTGCACTATGGTAGCAGTCAAGGGGCAGGAACTGGGACAGGAGATAAACTGGAGGGCTTAACCCTGGAGGCTTTCACTGCAGATGATCTGTAGATGCTGTTTCAACTACAGCTGAAAAATCCAGCACCACAGAGTAATGGCCCGGGGTGGCCCTGACCCAGCTCACATTGCTTGCTGAGACAGCAATTGCCAAACAGACAGCTGGGGACTGCTTCCATCCTGAGGCTGTAAATCCACACCACAAGCAGCTCCAGCCACATTCTGTCCTTGGATTTCAACAGGTGGAGTCATGTGGAGCAAAGTGATCCAAATTTTACATTCCTGCAAGGTCATGGTGACCACTCTCTCTTCAAGGAAGAGTATCCCATCTGTGCATGGATGATTTGTGCCGCAGAAGGCAGGTGGTCCCTCTTCTGTCCCTGGCTTAGCTAACACTTACTTCCACGCCCAACCTTCTTCTATATTTTTATTCTCTAACATAAATCCTGAGAAAAGCATTGAGCAAAACTGTAGCTGTGTTCTGTGTCTGGACCACAGCTCCCTGGAGCTTCTCACTTGGCCACTTCCCTATTTCTGGAAGGAGGACATGCCCTTCACTTCTCTGGCATCCTATTCTTTTGCTGCCTGGTACAGATGTTGGTGCTGGGCTGAGGCTCATGGTGGGCAGTCAGACATGTGCCTGCTGTCTTTAATCACATGGCAGAGGTTAAGAGCAAGGTTGTAGCTGTGGCATGTGTTGGCAGCAGTGTGGCCTCTTCCTGGCTCTCTGAGTTTGGATGCCCAGCATGGCTGGCCAGTGGGGAGGAGAAGGCATTGAGAAAAAGAAATTCTATTCTGAGTCAGCGGAGAAAGTGTCCAGTGTGGCCTAAAATGACAAAGGTAGATAAGAAGCAGCAGAGGAGGCTAAATGTTACCTACATTCTTGAGAGTCTGCCCTTTTTAAATTTTTTTTGTCTACTTATTCATCATCGCAAGATGGTATTGGGTCTTGCTTTAACCTAGCTCTTGCCCGTAAGTGACCAACCTACAGCAAGCTTCTCTCCCACATTACTACACAATGTGCTGGAAAAGCTGTGCAAAGCCCTTTTGTTCCTCCAGGCCCCCCAAATTGTCTGGTGATGCTGCTGATTGACAGCAAGGGATATGATGGGGAGCCAGGAGGAGGAGAAATGTTTTCCAATAATGAGTGATGAGTAGGGAAATCCCTCCAGTAAGCAAATCTGTCTACTAACTGGCAACAGGGAGTAGGAGAGAGACCCCAAGAGTCTCCCATCAAGGGTGTGATGCCTGCCCCTCTCACCCAGTCCTGGATCCAGCACTGCTTCCTGCAGCAGCTCCTGAAGTTGCAGTCCCACTCCACAGCCCATGTGCCTCCTATACTTGGGGAGCATTGAGATGACCCTGCTCTCCCCCCTGCTCTCTCAGGCTCCCTGCTCCTATCAGAAGTCCCAGAGAAGATGATGCTCAGTGGGGGGCTACAGCTTGCCTTGCCATTCATTGTCTGCAGTGTCTTCCACTGGAAGCACTCCCTAGTTTTAATTAAGGCTTTGAGGACCCAAGTCAGGCAGAAAGAATAGAAAATGCTAAGAACAGCTAATTTCTTAAACT